TGGAATGGTGGGCTATACCCACCTGTAACAACGGGCACCTTGAGCTGAGCAGCCATGAGCTGCTGACGGGCGGCTGGATGGCGACTGGACTTGGAGCTGAGCTAGCTGCGCCCTACACAACTAAGGTTGAAGGACAACAATTTGGCTGTTCTCCTTCCCCACTTCCCCAACACTGTTCCAATTCCCCAATAAAATCTTAAAAAAAAAAAAAGACACTGAATGTCTTAACCCTAAGATTGGGAAAAAGACTTGGGTGTTTAATCTCAAGACTTCTACATAAGAGTGTAATGTAAGTTGAAACTAATGCAATATGACAGGAATAAAAATGAAAGATACAGAGTGAGTCTACACAGAAAAATCACAAAAAGATCTTTAAAAAAGTTCCTTAACTAATAAGTGTTTTCAGCAAAGGCAAAACACACAGCCAATACAGAAGCCAATAATATACAAATATGATCAATAGGCATTTGAAATCAGATAAACATAATTTACCATAACACACAACATGCATGCACATCCATGTGCATGTGCACACACGCAAACACACACATGGTATCTCTATGCTGAACACTACTGAAGAAAAACATCATAATGAAAAAAATCAAAGAAATCCTACATATATGCAGAGGTATATGCTATTTGTGGATTGAAAGGCAGTATATTATTAAAATTCAATTCTCTTTAATTTGATCTATAGATTTAATGCAATCCCAGCTGAAAAGGACAGCATGCTTTTTTGTAAATATCAAGAAGCTCATTTTAAAATTGATACAGAAGAAAGTTGGTGGAATCACATTAAGGATTTCAAGAATTAATTAATAAGCTAATGTAATTTAGTGAATGTGCTATTGGCATAAGGATATGTAGATGAATAAAAAAGAGTAAAATTGCCACAGAAATATACCTTAGACATACAGAATTATGTAAAATGTATACATATGCAGAAATATGCAAATATTCCCATCTGTTTTCTAAGATCTTACAAATGCTTTTCAATAAAAAATGATATTCTTTTCAACACGTTGCTAGAATAACTGGATTCCCTCTTCAAAAATTTAAACTGAACATATACCTCACAATTTCTATAAAAATGAATACCAAATAGATCAATGTATAAAATGTGAAATTAAAAAATTTCTAGAAAAAACATAGGAATATTCTGTGTTCCTTTGAGTTCCGATGTTTCTAGACAGAACAACAAAAGCATGGTCCATAGAGAAAATTTAAAAATTGGACTGTATCAAAGTTGATGTTCAGTTTTAGCCAGCCTCCTCTGAAACCACACCAACAGAAATGGGGTGCAGCTTCATTACAGCCAAGTCGGGAGAGAAGTCCAGGTTCCCCACTAAACCTGTTGACACCCTGGGAGTTAGAGAAGAAAGATGCCACTTTAACACTGGGCAGGGATAAGAGATCAGGCCCCCATAAGCCTCCTGCTGGTACCCAGTGTTTCATCAGGTGCCAACATCCCCAGGTCATCATCACTCTTCTTTCCATCTTTCAGAATCTTACCATATACATATACACACACATATGTATAGATGTACTATGTGTACAAGAATATATTTAACTGAACTTAGTGGATGAAGGAGGAGGGAACATATTTACTCCATCTTTCCTCTGGTTAAGGCTTTTTATATCTTATTAATTACTTCCCTAAGCACCCTCATGAACATTTTTCCTTATCATCATTTAGAATATTTCTAGTTTTGCTTTGAAAACTAGGTCATCAAGCCACCTGAATCCAATTTTTTGGTTTGGATCCATTTGATCCAGGTTACCTCAGAATTCTTTCCCCACTGTTCTGGGGAGATAGTGCCATCTGTCAAAGACCAACAGTCTATAAAGCACATGTTTTTTTCTTGAGCTTTTTTTTCTGTTTCATTAATTTATTAAACTATCCCAATCCAGTTGCATACTACTTAACTACTCAGAGCTTTACATAAATCCTTAATAACTAGTAGAGCAAGTTCACTCTATTTTATGAATGGGATTTAGTTTGACATAGCAATAAATCTTTACAAATCCCCACTTGAATTTCTTATATAAATATAAAAAATGTTTCTTTTCTTTTGTCTTTGTTAGGGTTACCTAAGTTTTACCCATTTTATTATTTTTTATTCTATTCTAAGAACATTCTATAATTTCTATGTTTTCCAGTTTATTACTTTCACTTTTATATTCTTCTTCCTTCATTAGTATACTTTTGTTATTGTTCTTAATTTATTAATATAAATACAATATTAAAAATTTACCTCTTTCACTAATTTAGCTATATCCTATGGTTTCTAATACACATATTTCTTTTTATTATTTTATAAATGTCATGCAACATTGGAATTGATTTCCTTTGTCATACATTGTTTAAAAGGGATTTTTTTACATTTCCATATTGAAAGAGTTGTTTACTCATTCTATCATTAATTACTAGATTTTATCAAACTTGAGACAATATTATTTGTGGGGATTCTAATTTGTTGGGTTTACTGTTTTCTTATTAAACTAAAACTATACTTTCATAATCTTATTATTCCATGAAATTTTAAAGGCTTGTTGTTTGATTTCATCATATACATATACAAATATGTATCACTTTAATACAAATATCATTCATATCCCCTATGGACATACGTATTTAATATCACAGTACTTTTTATTTCATCAGATGAGGTACAGCAGGTCCTCAAATAACTTTGTTTCATTAAATATCATTTAGTGACAATGTTGATGAGAACAAAAAAACCTATTCCCAGCGAGGGTCACTGTCCGTGCTGAGTTGGCATGTTCTCCCAATGTCCATATGGGGTTTCTCTGGGTACGCTGGTTTCCTCTCACACCCCAAGATGTGCGTGTTTCATGAAGTGGCGTGTCTACACTGCCCCCAGTCTGACGGAGTGTGGTGTGTGTGATGCACCCTACAATGGAATGGAGTCCTGTCCACGATGGGCTCCCGCCTTCAGCCTTGAGCTGCTGGGATGGGCTCCTGCCACCTGCCATACTGAGCTGGCATAAGCAGGTTGGAAAGTAATGACTAATCTTTCTTAAATCTATGTATAGCTCTCATTTACATAAATGTTTAATGTTAGAAGTGTTTCAGATCTTTATGTAGAACTTTGGAGATGTTTTTGCTATAGGAACTTCACTATTGTTTATATCCATTAGTCTGTGATACAGCTGGTTTCATTGTATGTCATTTCGCTTAAAGTCAGTTTTCAAAAAACCTATCGACAATGTTAACGGAAAGATTTACTGTCTATTAGATCTCCTAATTCAAGTGAACTTTAAGTTCTTAGAAATCCATTACTTTGTATTTTATGACTGTTAACATATAGTTTGGTGCAGTCTTTCAAATATTTATGGGTTCACGTTAACCTGTCCTCCTGCGGTAGAAGGCCTTCTTTAAGTTAATGAATATATTGCCAAAAATCAAACCTGAATGGTAACAGAACACTAAATTCTAAATTGTTTTATTTTTAGTAACTTAATAACTTTACCATTCTTTTATTACAATCTTTCTAAGATACTTATTTGGGGATATCCTTTCTAGCCAATAAGTATGAACCAATCATTTATACTTAGTGACTGTGAAATATGCTTGCTTTAAATTATGTCAGTCTTTGTTACCCTGTTTAAATGGCTTCACAACAAAAAGTTTCAGTGAGAACACTTATGTAAGATGATTTTACATTTTGCTCAAGGAATTATAATTGAAACTTTAACTTTTGAAATTCTGGAATTGTTTTATTCATTTAGACAAAGGTCAATAAGCACATAGAAAGATGCTTGTCCTCATCAGTGATCAGGAAAACCGTTATGTACTAAACTGTGTCTTCCCCAAACCCTTATTTTGAAGCCCCAACTCCCAATGTAATTGTATTTGGAGGTAAGACCTTTAGGGAGGTAATGAAGGTTAAATGAGGTCAGAAAGGTGGGGCCCTAATTCTATAGAACCAGAGTCCTTATAAAAATAGGAAGAGACATCAGAGCTTTTTCTCTATCCATGCAAACACGGAGGAAAGTCTGAGGACATGGTGAGCCAGGGCGAGAGGCCTCACCAGAGATCAACCATACTGGCCCCTTGATCTTAGATTTTCAGCCTCCAGAACTGTGAGAAATAAATTTCTGTTATTTAAGCCACCCAGGCTATGGTACTGTGTTATGCCATCCCAGCTGACTAACACAGAAATGCAAATCAAAACCTCAATGCTATAGCACTTCACATCCACTAACATGGCTACAATGAAAATGTCAGATAATAAGTGCTGGTGGAGATGTGGAGGAATCAGAAACCCTCATATGCCGTCACTAGGAATGTAAAATGGTACAGCTCAGGAAAACAGTCTGGCAGTTCCACAGTTAACACAAAACCCAGCAATTCCACTCCTAGCTATGAACTCAAGGAAAACAAAAGTATATGTCCATGCAAAAACTTGTAAATGAATGATTATATCAGCATTACTCGATAATAGCCAATAGGTGGAATCCCAAAGGTCCAATGACTGATGAATAGACAAAACACATGTGCTATATCCAGACAATGAAATATTATTTTGCAATGAAAACGACGAAGTACTAATGGATCCTATAATATGAACCTTGGTGATGCAAAGTAAAAGAAACCAATCACAAAAGAACACATAGTGTGTAATCCCACTTACATGTAATGTCCAGAATAGCCAAATCTATAGACACAGAAAGATCAATAGTTGCTACGGCTGGAGGGGACATGACATAGGGAGGTGACAGCTAAAGGGTATGGGGTTTCTCTCTGAGGTAAAGAAAACTGACTGCCGTAATGTTTACATATATCTATGAATATATTAAAAGCCAGTGAACTGTACACCTTAAATGGGTGAATTGTGCGATATGTGAATTACATCTCAATTGTGCGATATGAGAATTACATCTCAAACCTGTTTAAAAAGAAAAATAACTGTCAGAAGTATTTCCCTCTAAGGTCTAACTACCCCTGGAGATTCCTTCTGTCCATGCTCACTCACCTGGGTACCTCTGGTTTAGGAATTCTTCCTCTAAGGACCAGGGCTCTTCCCCTCGCTCCAACTTGAAGATCACCTGGGGTTTGGTAATGCAATACCCTGTGAACATAACAATTGAGAGTATATGTAGACCCGATCCATGGGCTTTCTAGTTTCTGACTGTGGAGAAACATGTAGTAACAGCAAAATGAAAGTGCCCATTTGCTGTTTTCAATGGGAAAGTAATGACACAAACGTTGTTTTTGTTTTTCTAAAGGTTCAGTTACCTAGGCATCTTAATCAAAAGCCTGAATAATATTAATCTCTATAGAAGACGCATGTGCTTTGATAAGTTAAAAAAAGGAACTGTATTGCAGAGGGAGTCAGGTGGTAAGGTCTGCTCACCCACGGAGACCAGGTGGCTATAGTTCTCCAGCATCACATCTCTGTAGAGGGTCCTCTGAGCAGGACCCAGGTATGGCCACTCCTCCTGGGTAAACTCCACAGTCACGTCTTTAAATGACACAGATCCCTGTGATAACACATTTTGTTCAAAAGTTCAGAATTAGGTGACAGAGCAAATACATTTGAGAAGTACTATTTTGCCTTTTATGCTTAAGGCTCCAAAACAAATACATGTAAGGAATGTCGATTTTTGACATAATTTTTCTTGAACTTTGGATTACTCAATCAGTTAAAAAGCTTTTAATGCAGACAATTTATTTTTATTAGTAAATTATTTAATTTATAAATGTATTTATAAACTGTAGTATTTTAAGAAGAAAAATATTTCAGTACACAGAGACTTCCTACAGCTCTTCAACATCCCAAGGGACTGTTCTAGAGAATTCTAGGACGTTCAATCCCTCCATGGACACTACTACCGTAAATGCTGGGAGCCAAGGAAGAGACACATGGAAGCTGTGGAGATAACACACACAATGGAACTTCTGTGTAAATGAATGTAGAACGATATGTAACTCTAGAGCTTATGAAGAGCAAAGCACAACTTACTAAGAAGTTGGAATCAGAGAGACCTGTATAAGAGAACTGTGTACACTGAATAATAGCAATGGATATAAGGGAAGGGGTGGAATCACAGAGCAGGAGCAGCACCAATGTGATAACTATTTTCTTATACAGCTACCCAATCTAGCAACATGAGCAGTTCCTTTAATGCTGGGGTCAAATACTGATATTAGGGACACAAAAAGAAAAAACTGTAGTAGAATTTAGTGAGACAGATCTGGTCATATTGCTACTGAATGTCTGTGGAACATGAAGCTGGAACTGTCCCTTAAACTAGTACACACGTGGTTGTAGAATGTGTGTACAGAGGGGAGGTCCAGGATGAAGACAAGCATTAAGGAGTTATGAGCAAATTGGGTGGCAACTAAAGGTATCAGAGGCGATCAGACAGCAACTTGAGTACACTGGGATTGAGGAAAGCAAAGTACCACAAACAGCACTGGAGGGATCGTGGATATTCAAGAGGTGGGCAGAATACATATAGGTCACAAAGTCAGAGAAGAACTTTTCTAGTCATAAAAGAATAGTGAGAGGACAGAGTCATGGAAACTGAGAAAGGGAAAATTTCCACAACTGACTTCAAAGGGGCTGGGAGAAGGAAAAAGTGGGGAGCTGCCATTCAACAGGTATAAAGTTTCACTTGAGCAAAATATTAATTTCTAGAGATCTGCTGTAAAACATTGTGCCGCTAGTTAACAATACTGAATTGGACATGTAAAAATTTGTAAGAGAATAGATCTCATGTCAAGTGTTCTTATGACAACTAAATAAAATAAAAGTAGATTTAGATATATGAGGACAGAAACAAGTTTTTTTCCTCCAGTGTTGTGTATCCAATTGTACGTTCATTTACATCTTCAGTGTTACTAAGTGAATACCTTCTCTCTGTGCAGCTAAGTGTTAGTAGCAGAGAACTATTGGGTTATCAAAAAAGTCATGACGTATTTTTTCTATGTTTTTTGTTGCAAAACTGCATCATGACTTTTCCAACAACCCAATAAAACAAATGAACAAAAAAAACAGGAACACATCTCATTAAATTTACTTTGATCAAAAAAATAAAGAAAATTTATATTTTCAAAAACTAAAAAATTAATGAGAAAAGGTTTGCTTTTTAAAATGTTTCTCAATCTCTTTAATATCTGCTTTAATAAAAATCAGCTGGATTAAGAGAAATTAAGCTGATAAGTGATAGAAGTGAAAATGATGAAGTAGGGATCCCAGAAAATTGTCTCTTCTACAAAAACAATGAAGGAAAACTGGAAAAATACTTTTAGAAGTTAACAAAGTCAATCTGTGGAAATATGCAAGAAAAACGGCTGAATCACACTAAAAACAGTTATACTGTATCCTTTTAATTTAACCTGCTCCAATCACTCTCCCTCTTCAAATCTGCAGTAGCTTGAGTACCAACGGTCGTCAGCCAGCAGCCTGGCAACTACAGGAGGGGCAGCCCTGGGTTCACATTCCATCAACACCTCATGCCCAGAAAACTGGCATCATTTCGCCTGTTGATGATTCTCTGAAATTTCCTACTCACAAGGATGTCTTTGTAATATTTCAGGTAAGTTGGTGAGTGTAATATAGTGCTATATGTGAAAAGCCTTCTCTTTACAAGCATTTGTCAAAATACTAAAGGCATTCGTTTTACTTCGTGGCTACCTGAGGTTCTGGATAATAGCAGGGGCAAACAATGACGTAATCAACAAGCCTAAAAGGAAATGCTGGGGAATGGGATGTTAATAAAGATTTTGAAAAGCTCTAATATATTTGTGAGAATCTATTAGGCTACATACAAGCAGAGGGCTGTGCATATACTCAGGGCTGAGACCATACTCAGGAAGCATGTGACATGGCCCTAAGCTGTCACCTCTAGGTGACCATGAGCTTTGGCATAAGAAGGAAGGTGAAGGCTGCTGCAGACCTGTGAACTGCCTGACTGTCCATTGAAGGAATGCCCTGACATGCGCAGAGCAAAGACTGGGAGACTTACTGATTTCAGGCATTGAAGGAAATTTTTGAAGAGACTTCATTTGCTACAGATCACAAGAAATACAGGCTTTATGGAATTAGATCAGGAACATCACTAAACAAATTTCAAGAATGACCCCAGTGGAGAGGAGAAATTCTGATTTCCAAAGTTGCCACGTTATTTTATTTAAAATGTCCAATTGTCAACAACAACAAAAAAACTGCTAAATCAGGAGAAAAAAACAAGAAAGTATGACCCACATGCAGGAAAAAGTGTTATCAATAGAAAGCGCTTCGAGGAAGCAGCTGTTGGACTTATTAGGCATCAACTTTAAATCACCTGTTTTAAATATGGTCAAAGAAGATGACCTCAAGGAAAGAATATCTAAGCACTAAAGGTAAGTATAAGAACAATATTTCACTACATAAAGAGTATGAATAAAGAGATATATATTATAAAAAGGCACCAAATAGAGACTCAAGAGTTGCAAAGTAGTATAACTGAAACAAAACTTTCACTAGAGGAGTTCCACAGCAGATTTGAGCAGGTGAAAGAACGAGCCTGTACAATATGTCCACTGAAATTATGCAGTGTGGGAAACAGAAAGAAATAACAATGATAACAAATAACTACGGGATAGCATCCAGTTTACAAATATATGCATAATGAGAGTGCCAGAGAGGAGAAATAGATTGAAAGAATATTTAAAATAATAATGGCCAAGAAGCCTCCAAATTTGATGAAAAACATCCATCTACACATTCAAGAAACGCAACAAACTTCAAGTAGGATAAACTTGAAGACAGCCATGCCTGGAAACAGATAATCAACCTGCCAAAAAGACAAACAGACAATCTTAAAAGCAGCAAGAAAAAGTGACTCATCATATACAATAGCAGTAACAGCTGAAGACTAATCAGAAACCATGGAGGACAGGAGGCAGTGAGACGACATATTCAAAGTTCTGAAAGAGACTTCAACTGCTACAGAGAAAGAATTCTTGTCAACCAAGAATTCTATGCCCAGCAAAAATGTAAAAATTAAAACCTTGTAAAATAAACAGAAACACAATGTGTCAAAGGCAAAACTTCCATACACAAAATAATATAGAAAGTAGTTCAGCAAATCTATGGTTGCTTACGGCTTGGGAGGGAGAAATGTGATGATGGGGCAGCATAGTTAAGTTTCAGAGTTGCTTTTTAAGGTGCTGAAAATGCTCTACATTGACTGCAGTGATGTTTGTGCATATCTGTGGGTACGCTTTAAAAAAATCATTGAATTTTACACTTTAAATGGGTGAATGGCATGATACATGTATTGAATCTCGATAAAGCAGTTTTCAAAAAATGAGAGAGGATGAAACTATTACAGGACAATAGAGAAGATTAAGGGACCAAGGATGGTAACTGGGGATGAGACATGTGAAAGGACATCAAAAAACTGAACAAGAGACAATACTCCCTAACTCATTTTATGAGGCCAACATTACCCTGATACCTAAACCCAGTAAGGATAACACAAAAAAAGAAAATTACAAACCAATATCTCTGATGAATACAGATGCAAAAATCCTAAACAAAATTCTAGCAAATCGAATACAACAATGCATTAAAAAGATTATACATCACAATCAAGTGGGGTTCATCCAGGGGCACTAGTATGGTTGAACATATGCAAATCGATCAATGTGATATACCACATAAACAAAATAAAAGATAAAAATCAGATGATTATAGGGCTGGCTGAGTGGCATGACGGTTAAGAACTGGTTTGGGACGCCAGAGGGCCCCGGTTCAGATCCCACATATGAGGGCCAGTGACACTGCCCTCCACAGCTAAGATGCTGAACAACAGCTCAACCTGGAGCT